AGTTGAACTCAGTAGCAAATAATAATGAATTCTAAGTGAGTATGCAATGGAAATACAATCTATTCTAAAGAATTTATACCTAAGGTATGAAGACCAAGATGGTGTGACCTTTTGTGTGGTCGCAGTCTTCTTTCGTTGTATAGAAGTTGTTTGACCTTGTTTTCGCAACATGGTCACAATGGTAGGAAGACTTAGACGAACTTACCTAGTCCGGAGTCCATTGTATTAATGATTATTTCCAAAGTTGGACCGTGGACGTGGTACGTTCCCAGACGATTCGCCGGCATCGTCAGTAAGTCTCGCCATTCGTAGCATCATAGTACAGCTCGTCAAAGAGACAAGTGAAGCCCATCCTTTGGCCAAACGTGTGCTAAACAGTTGTGGTATCCACTTCGGCCCGGGGCTATTCACATTTCCTATATCCTCCTATCACGCCTACCTGTCAAAATTTTTATCGTGCTTACTTTGATGTAGTGTGGTGTACTCCTCGAGCAGCATTCATGAAGACCCATCACACTCCACACTGTCGTTCTCACCCCCTTCACCCTTGTGCTGGGAATGCTGATCAGAGTCTATCATATTGTTATGTAGTCCTTCACTGGGTCTCCCTCTTGCCCCGTAGAATCCGTCTGGTATCTCCCTGGTACACGTATTTAAATCGACCCGTGTCTCTCCATCTGTGCAACTCGAAGCGTTATTCGCCCACCCCTGCGTCTGGGTGACTAATTCGAGCTAAAGCCTCTGAGTAAGTCTCATGGACATGCCTTTTCTAAATGGACCACGTCTCTGATAAAACCTACTGTCAGCCAACTAACTTCAATCGCCGCCTCGTCTATCCTGTCTCTATCCCTAATACCAAGTCTATGACTTGCCACACCATAGTTTCTTATGTGCCAACCCACCAATGTTGTGGTACTGCTTGCTTTGATTAGCTTTACTGATGAACTACAAAGTTTGTGGATCCGCTAAGGCTAATATTCAACAACAAACATGTAGCAATACACAAACTAGCGAAATTAATTTGGCTTAAAGCTCAAGAAAGTAAATGAAAGGCTCTCGAATACCGTCAAGAATTCATATGAATTTTCTCAAAGGATCTAGAACATTGGGTTGGTTGGGTCGGAACTGTTGGTGAGTTTCGATGTACAATCAATGTACACAAACATATCAGGTGAGAAGGCAGTAAGCGCTTTGCTGGAGATATTGAAGCGAGAAGAGGACATCCTGGAGGCAGAACAGATACGGAAAGAATCGTTAACACGACTGATCAACCTGACAGTAAGGATCCCATATTTTACATTTAGCGACAGTATCTACGAGCAAATATTTGGACTACCGATGGGATCTCCACTCTCACCTCTTTCGGCAAATGTGTACATGGACAAGTCAGAAAGGAAATTCGAGAAGTTACCACTGAAACTAAGAGTGCTTATGCGATACTTGGATGACTACTTTGCACTTTGGTCATATGGTAAGGAAAATTTAAATGAATCCCCCAATTTCATTAACCAACTTGATGAAAGAATTACATTCACAATGGAGGTGGAGGATGAATAACAACCAATTCCGGATATTGAAGTCATGCGCTCCAAAGGGACACTCATGAGGAGGCTATACAAAAAGA